TTTCAAAATGGAAGATATGGTTTAGGGTTTAGGGGTTCCAGCAGTGACAGGTTAATGGTTGGACTAGATGATCTTAGAGGTCTCCTCCAGCCTTGATGATTCTATGATCCTATGACTAAGGATGTCTGAAAACCTGTGTGGTCATGACCATGTTCCCAAATTATCCAGGAGGATTCATTCATTTGACTACAAAACTAATGAATCTGCTCAGTCTGAGCCTGTGTGGTTGCTACAGGAGTTAATGTCTGTAGGTCCTATTGCCCATTTGGCAATTTTTTTAACCTGGAAAAATGAGTGTGAAAAGTTAATGAGAGATGGAGATCTTCAGCAAAAAATGCCTGTAAGCATAAACAGATGTAACTTGAAGTCCTCCTAGAAATGCATTTTTTCCACTGCTGTTTTAAGAAGTTACTAGTTTCTGTGGCATTTACGGTCATTTCCTTCCTTAGAAATGTTGTTTTGCAGTTGTTTAGTCCACAAAGCATGGACCTTCTCTGGCTTCTGCCTTAACTAACCAACCAGTATGAATTTCTCTTGAAATTCACAGCTGTCTTTACTGAATGTGAGCAAATGAGCCTGTCAGGTTGAGCTGACTCTAAACTTTTCTTGTCTTTGGGATGCAAATCCTTTTAAGCATATTTAGGTCATCTCTACTTGATTTTCATGGGGTATAGAGTCAGGGATGTGGGGGAGAAACTTCTTCATAAAGGAAAAAAGTAGGAAAAAGATGTGCTGTAAATCACTCTGTTGAAGGTCACTGTCAAAGTCATCATGTTCCATGCAGGAACCTAAAGTTGCTGGGCATCTGCTTTCCTTAGGATTGTGGGAGAAGTAGAATTTCTCCCTGTTGTTTTCATCTTTCAGTTATGATTTAAACCATATTTGGGGGTGACTGGTAGCTATCAGAGGAGAATCAGGTATAATCTAGTGACTGGTTTAAATTCCAAAGCCAAACTGCTGGTAGTTAGATGCTTTTAAAGCCTGACTGAAAATGTTCATCAAGTTCTTCACCACTTTCCATATTCTTTACCTTCTTGGCCTGGATATCTGCTTCTTTTAAAATAACATTCCCCTGACACAAAGTCTCAAAGCACCACTTAAAATTGCCCAGCTCATACTTAATTCATATTTGGATTTCCCCAGCTGGAGTTGCTTAAGTATATCTTATGGCCAGCAGACTGCAAAACCCCAAGATATTCAAGAACTGGATAAATAACTCTTAATGACATAGAGCATAAAGTATTTTCTGTACCTCTTAGTGCTCCTCCAGCTCATTGGCAGAATTGGGATAAAAATCAGAGCAGTGCTGAGATAGTGTAGAATTTCAGTCCTGATCATCCTTAACACAAATCCCTTTTTCCTG